GTGATCAGATTTCAAAAAGCTAGCTTTCAAGAATTCTCTTCGCTATAGGAAAACTGGAAGGAAGCAACACGATTCTGAATGGGAACTGGAATTGACTGCAGTTGAATAACTAGCATTAGCAAAGTTTTTCTTTACTTGGTCTTCATGGAAACTTTTTTTAAACCGCACTCTCCTATAGCGTAAGCTCACGTAAAATTCCAAAATGCTTTGTCCTTGACATTCAGGTGAGTGTGGTTTCTTCCATACTCATTCCCTCGCGTGTTCGCCATCCAGACATCAAATCCAGCATCAGCAAGGACAAAACCTGGGCGTAATAAATTGTAGAGTGTTTGTTTACGTGGCAAATCATAGTATACCCAAGCTCTGCGCAGGTAAATTCAACACAAAAACAGAAGAATCGCAGAGAAGACAATGCATTAGCAGGACGGGTGGTCGCACATTTGAGGTATGAGGTGCTGGTCGCTCTAAAAAAATTACATGAAAGATATTATTTTTATGAAGAATGACTTCTGTACTTATCTTCTGATGACATAATGAGAAATCTTATAAACCTTCATGCTACTTGCAAACAGCGAAAAGTTTTTGAACTGTTATATAAGACGAAAAACAGCGTACGAGTTTCAAAACTTTTACAAAGTAAGAGCTCACACTTGGTACTCGAAATTCTTTTCGACAGACGCAGGAGTGTACCTTCAAAATAGATCAAATTCTGTACAACTGTTCTTCTTGCCAGACTTCAAAAGGAAGCTGGTAAAAAAATCGGGAGTCTCATAGTTAGATATGTAATTACAGAATCCATTAAAATGTATCGAGTGGAAGACTTGAGCATAAATTAGAAATTAGAGAACAAAGAATATGCTTCTATAGAGACTAAAAATGTCGCTAAATATGCTTGTGAAATAAGTTCAACACCCTGGAGAAATGTGACTGGAAATTGTTTGCTATATCTTGCAATAGAAGTTCATGCCACGAAAGTAAGTTTTAAAGCTGACCATCTCTTCCAAATGGAATACGGTGCACAGTCAAAATATAACCATCTTCGGTAGTTACGGTATGCCCTTCAACCGGATATCCAAAGTGCGCGATGAGTTGTGGCTGTAAAAAAAA